GGGGGGGGGGGGGGGGGGGGGGGGGGGGGGGGGGGGGGGGGGGGGGTGTTTTTAATAAAAAACAAGGGCCATTTTTGGGGAAAAAAACCCAAAAAACAAAAGGAATAACAGGAAATTTTTAAAATTTTTGGGGGTTGGGGGAAAAGGGGAAAAAGAAAAAAATTAACAATGATAGGGGAGGGGAAGAAACTGCTAAGGGACATCGATACCCCAAAGGGAATGGGACCGGGCAAAAATCTCTCCGGGGTCCCTTAGAGAGGGGCAGATATTTTTTGGGGCGTGCCCCTTTTTTCCACAATCTTCAACACCTTTCCCCGGAAAATGGGGCCAAATAACCCGGTTTTGGAAGACGGCAAATGTAGTTTCCCATTTTCAAAAAAAGGGGACAAAAAAGAGGGCCCCCAAAATATAGAACCCGTGTCATTGGGCCTGTATAAATATGCCAAAAATTTTAGAAGATTATCAGGAGGGAGGTGGGGGCACCTGGAACGGAACAATATATTAAAAACCAACCAGCACGGATTCACGGAAGGCAAATCCTGTGTTTTTTACAAACCTTCTGGGGTTTTTATGATAAAAAAAAAAGACAAAAAGAGAGGGGGGGTTTGATTGCATCTCTTGGGCTGCAAAAGGCCTTTTACAAAAGTTCCCCACAAGAAATTATGGCAGAAGCCAGGCACAGGCCAATTTTTAGGAAAGGGGACTGCAATGGATCAAAGAATCCTGACAGGGAGGCAAAAAACATCATGGTACGTAATGATTTTTTCCTTGGGGGGGCCTGTGACGAGCCGGGGGCCCCACGGGGGGGGTCCTAGGGCCATGCTATTTTTGGAATAATTTAACGCATGAGGGAAAGGGGTTTTGACCAGAAGGGGTCCCTGTTTGCAGAAGATGTGAAGTTTAAAGAGGGGAATTTAAAACGATTAGGGCCAGGCAGGAAAATTCAAAAAGACCTGGACAGACTGGACACCTGGTCCAGCAAATGGTTCTCGAAAAAAATCCGCCAAATGCAAATTCCCTGAAATAGGGGAAGGGCACAGAAGACCACAGACAGAGTTAACAAGGGGGGCCAAAGACTGCAAAACCCCCCCTCAAGGAGAAAAAATTTTTTGGGGTAGTATAAAACCGAACATGCTCCCCGGAAACACACATCAATCAGATAACTGGGTGCAGCATATGGGCGCCGGCAAACCTGAGAACGATTCCGATAAACCCTTAGTAAAATCAACAAGAAACTGTACCCGTGTAAAAGCAGGCCCAAAACGGGAGTATGCAGCACCTGTTTTGGAAAACCCGCACTTGATAAAGCAAAAGTCAAGAAACCCAAAAATTACAAAGGGTTTTCGACAAGGGATAGTTCCCGACTAAGGGGAATGTCCTATGAAGAAAGATTAAGGAAATCGGGGCCCGACGACACTGGAGGACAGGGGGGTCAGGGGGGAAATTTAAAACACATATAAAATACGCGTGGGAAAAGACAAGGTTGGGCAAAGACAGGATGTTCCGGGAGGGGACCCCAGAAAAAAGACCCCCAATTGGAATTGGGAAAACACCCAAAAAGTCAGAGGGATAGTAGGGAAATATTTTTTTCAGTCAAAGAGTTGTAAGGCAGTTGGGAAAAGCCTAAAAAAAATGACGAGTGGAAAGGGAGGAACCATACACATTTTTAAAAACCCAGGTTTTTATAAAGCTCATGGAGCGGGGGAGAGAGGGCCTTGTAGCAACCGGGGAAGAGGCGGGGGCCAGGGAAACTAGGGCTCGACCCCTGCAACCACAAAAAGGGGGAGTACAAAAAAGGTGAATTTCACACACACACACACACACATGCACAAATGTTGGGAAAAGCTTTATTTTTCAGCTAGCAAAGTCGGGGATTTCTCCAGAATGGTCTGTTTAAAATACCCTGTGGAAAAAAAACTTTGGGCCCTTTTTTGAACACTTCTGATTTAGTTGTTTCTAAATTCCCTTTAAATTTTTTCGCCCCAGACATAATTACGCAGGGGGGACAATAATCCATCTGGGAAAGTTTTCTTTTTTTTTGGTCTACATCTTTGGGGGTGGTGAAAATTTAAACCCGCCCCAAAAATACTTGTTAAACCCAGGCCGGAGCCGGCAGTAGTGACATCCCCAAAGCGGGTTAATTTTTTTGGGTGCACCATAAAAACATGTGGGTCCCCTGCAAGATAGAATGATGATAGAAAGGACTCACTGGGGGCAATCTCCCTGAAACCTTTAATTTCCCTTAAAAATTTAGCGAAGGGTTTTTTTCATATTATTGTTTTTTCAAACTACTACCTGACAAGCCAAGATTTTTTAAACTACTCCCTCTTTGAAAACAAAAAAACTTAGCCAAATTTTTCAGTTCTATCAGGGATTAAAAACCAATGTGAGTGGAAAACCACAGCATGTGCACTCTGGGCTCCACTGTCCCCAATCCTTCCAAAAACCCGTGTCTGGGTTTTGACACAAGCCAAAGCCACCAATTTTTCTTAATGAATTTTAGAGCATTTATTGGGTGAAAGAGAATCAAATTTCAAATTTAAAATGTCAATCTTTGATAAATTAAACATTTCAGTGTAAGGAAAAATGGGAAACAGTTTTGTCAAGGGGAAGGGCCCCAAAAAAAAAATTTCGTGCCCCAAATTTTTTTTTAAGAGAGCCATCACTCTGTAAAGCAACAAACAGGGACTACCAGCTGCACCAAATGGGTTTGGGGGAAAAAAACCCTCAAATTTAAAAAATTTTTTGGGGAGGTGTGCTGTGTGACTAAGTTTTTCAAAAAAAGCGTAAAGGGCCCCATTTTGGCTTTTAAAGGGGAAGTTTTTTTTGTGGAAATTTTAAAAAAGTATTTAGGGGAAATGGAGGGAAAGGTATTTTGGAAAGGGGAATAAACCCTGGGCAGAAGTGCCGCTGTTGCCTTACTTTACAAAAAGATCATGTATCTATTCATGCGGAGGTCGGGTTTCCCGTTTTTTTCGATCCATCTGGAGGAGTGTTCACCAGTGGTTGAAAAGTTTTTGGGGGGCTTTTGGCAGGGGGTTTTAATGAGCTTCCTGACATATTTAAACCCCAAAAAATTTGGATATTTTTTCAGTAAAAACAAACCCCCTGAAGCTTTGGGAAAAACAAATTCTTTTTGCATATTTAAAAATTTTTTGGGAAAAAACGAGGGGATCCTAGGATGATCCTCCCTTGCTTTGTTCTGCAGTTTTTTTTTTCCCGCCCCCCCAAGCTTTCCTTCAGACACAAGAACAAGTAGTGGCGCAGCATAAACAAAACCCTGATCAATAATTTAAACAAGGATACCCTCAAATTTTTACAAAATTTTAAAATTAGCCCAACCTGGGGGAAACCCTGCCCCCAACCCCTAAGTGCCTTTGTACAATCTTGGGCTGTCAGTTAGCAGTTTGAGAACAATAATACGAAAAAAACTTCAACTGAACTTTATTGACTTAAGACTTAGGAAGATTGACACAAGTCAGTCCATCTATCATCATTCTATCATGCAGGAGGAACCACATGTCTATGGTGCATCCAACAAGATAAGCAAACTCTTGGATGTCACTACTGCCCGGCTCCGGCTGGGTTACAAGTATCTATGGCAGGTTAAATCACCACCACCAGATGTAGACCAAACGAAATGTAAACTTTGCCAGATGGACTATTGTCACACCCTGCGTCATTATGCACTGGAGTGCGATAAAATTAATGAATATAGAGACAACTCACTCAGAAATGTTCAAGAAATGGCAAAGTATTTTATCCACAGTGGTATATTACAGACCATCCTGGAGAGATACCCTGACTTTGTTAGCTGTAAATAAAGCATTACCACGTGTGTGTGTGTGTGTGTGTTTGTACGCTCGTGTGCATGTGTCTGCATGCGCCCTCGTGTGTGTCTGTGTGTGTGTGTGTGTGTGTGTGTGTGTGTGTGTGTGTGCGCGGCGCTCGTGTGGGTGTATGACCCACTTAATATTTGTATTTATAACTCATTACAATTGTGACCAGGTGTGGACGTATCAGTGGCTCATTACTTTGTAATTTGTTCATGACTGTAACCATGTATAGGAGTGAGGCTGATTCATTACTTTTGTAACTTGCCATGATTGTGACCAGATCTACCTGGAATTCATTACCTTTGTAACTAGTTCAGCTATCATAACTTTGGGGTCCAATCCCTGGACCCATTATGTACCTCTGTAATCTTTTGACTACCGCCCACAGGATGGGTATGGGATGCATAATAAACATATTAAACTAACTGATCAACATTGCATTATTAATTTGAGCTGTAAGCTTCACAACTAAATTTTTATCTTTTCTGCCACAAGGAATCACCAGTGACACTTTAAAACCTCGAGGCTCGTTTCAAGCCATTATAGAGTACATGGAAAAAGGCAGACAGCAGAAGTCTCCACGATCCATAGTGAAGCTGTCTGTCCAGATAGTTGAGGCTAAGATACAATAGGTCACGGTGCTCTAGTCTAGATAATCGGATATATCTTCAACAAGAGAGAACACACGAGGCTGACAGGATGCATCAAAAGAGGAGGTCAAATTACAGACCACACCAATAAAATCCAAACTATATGATCCATTATGTCAACGCTGACTTTTCACGGCACATCAAGAATCGTAAATTACATATTTATTGCAAACTCCTTGGTAAAAGCCGAGTGAAAATGCATGACCTAATAACATGCCGTCAATTTCGCAATATTTATCTGATGAAAACATTGATACCTTATAACTCATCACATATATTGTGACAAACCCCTTACACTCATAACATGAATTCTTGTTTTGAGACAAACTGGATTAGCGCTGACCAAGCGACATGAGCACCATGTCAGTGTGAGTAGTCACGTGTTATATAAGTATGTTAACAACGTATGCACTGTATGCAAAAAATGCATTTTATATTATGATCATACATCCTGACGAGAGGAAACCAGGAGGCACACTGCATATATCACAAGGAACAAGACATATATTATATATTTGTAAGGTTTACTTTAAATGGTTACCGTTTCATTTAATGAACACCATTTAGACCAAATACAGCCAGTAACTGTTAAACTAAAATACATCATATATTTTTTAGAAAGGATGAGAGATGTTACCAGATGGATGATACCGGCGCCCGTGAGCCAGACCGCAATGAAGATAGAACATAGTTGTGCCAGCCTTATGCTGGATGATGTCTTGAGGACGTTCAGGTACTGCAGGATATCTGGCACTGACATGAGGCGCAGGGCTCGTAGGAACCGCAACCCTGACAACAAAGAATCAACTCTTATTCTGTGGTAACTTCAACATTACATGAGTATGAAAGATTATGTGCAAATATGTGCATGTTTGGGAGAAACGTGCAACATTCGCCAATGAGATGCTGGAACTAACATGACACGGGAATACGATGAATAGACTGGTTTGTATATTTTAAACTCTGAGGACCTTAGTTGCAGGTTGAAATATATAGAGCAACACATTTGTGTTTGTCTCTCCCTGTGAGTTCCTGTTTTACACACAACACACACACACACACACACACACACACACACACAGCGATCAATGAAGAGGAGGGAGCAGGAGCTATGAATCGACCCCTGGTGAGTACACACATACAAGACATAGACAATATTCCAGAAATGGGACACAGAAACTAGGTGCCACAACTGGAAGCTGAAGACTCAAATGAGTCAAAGAGATGTTAGGAAGTATTTCTTTAGTCATAAAGTTGTCAGAAAGTGGAAAGCAATGTAGTGGAGGCAGGAACCATATATACTTTTAAGACGAGTTATGATAAAGCTCATGGAGCAGGGAGAGAGAGAACCTAGTAGCGATCAGTGAAGAGGCGGGGCCAGGAGCTATGTCTCGACCCCTGCAACCACAAATAGGTGAGCATAATATATATATATATATATATATATATAATAATATATATATATATATATATATATATATATAATATGGGGGGGGTAGGTGCATGAGGCATTACGTAGAATGAAAGGGGGTAAAGCAGCTGGAACTGACGGGATCATGACAGAAATGTTAAAAGCAGGGGGGGACATAATGTTGGAGTGGTTGGTATTTTTGTTTAATAAATGTATGAAAGAGGGGAAGGTACCTAGGGATTGGCAGAGAGCATGTATAGTCCCTTTATATAAAAGGAAGGGGGACAAAAGAGATTGTAAAAATTATAGAGGAATAAGTTTACTGAGTATACCAGAAGTGTACGGTAGGGTTATAATTGAAAGAATTAGAGGTAAGACAGAATGTAGGATTGCGGATGAGCGAGGAGGTTTCAGCGTGGGTAGGGGATGTGTAGATCAAGTGTTTACATTGAAGCATATATGTGAACAGTATTTAAATAAAGGTAGGGAAGTTTTTATTGCATTTATGGATTTAGAAAAGGCATATGATAGAGTGGATAGGGGGGCAATGTGGCAGATGTTACAAGTATATGGAATAGGTGGTAACTTACTAAGTGCTGTAAAGATTTTTTATGAGGATAGTGAGGCTCAGGTTAGGGTGTGTAGAAGAGAGGGAGACTACTTCCCAGTAAAAGTAGGTCTTAGACAGGGATGTGTAATGTCACCATGGTTGTTTAATATATTTATAGATGGGGGTTGTAAAATAAGTAAATGCTAGGGTGTTCAGGAGAGGGGTGGGATTAAATTATGGGGAATTAAATACAAAATGGGAATTGACACAGTTGCTTTTTGCTGATGATACTGTGCTTATGGGAGATTCTAAAGAAAAACTGCAAAGGTTAGTGGATGAGTTTGGGAGTGTGTGTAAAGGTAGAAAGTTGAAAGTGAACATAGAAAAGAGTAAGGTGATGAGGGTATCAAATGATTTAGATAAAGAAAAGTTGGATATTAAATTGGGGAGGAGGAGTATGGAAGAAGTGAATGTTTTCAGATACTTGGGAGTTGACGTGTCGGCAGATGGATTTATGAAGGATGAGGTTAATCATAGAACTGATGAGGGAAAAAAGGTGAGTGGTGCATTGAGGTATATGTGGAGACAAAAAACGTTATCTATGGAGGCAAAGAAGGGAATGTATGAAAGTATAGTAGTACCAACACTCTTATATGGGTGTGAAGCTTGGGTTGTGAATGCAGCAGTGAGGAGGTAGTTGGAGGCAGTGGAGATGTCCTGTCTAAGGGCAATGTGTGGTGTAAATATGCAGAAAATTCGAAGTGTGGAAATTAGGAGAAGGTGTGGAGTTAATAAAAGTATTAGTTAGAGGGCTGAAGAGGGGTTGTTGAGTGGTTTGGTCAGTTAGAGAGAATGGATCAAAGTAGAATGACATGGAGATGTCAGCATAGTTGCTGATCCCCCCTTATATGTGTTGTATAGCATATCATAGTACCATCCATGTGCTTTATATAGAAGATCCCTTTTAGGCCGAGTGACTGTGTGACGTCACGGGATGCGCATGTGTACGTTCATACCTCTGCCTCCCTCTCAGTCGGCAGATAGACATCCAGGCATTGACACGGCAGGCTGGGCTCATCCCTTCCTTACCACAGTCTGACAATATAGCGTTACCATCCAACAAGTGTGTCTACCTTCAACCCTCAAATTTCCTTAAGAACCCCTATGACAATTGGTGGCAACGGAACCTCTGTAATTCTGACGATTACAGTGATTTCTGGAGATAAATTTCTACTGAGACGGTCGCCATCTCCTGATGCTAGGCCGACCTAGCCAGCCAGCTACCCCCGCAAGTGTCTACCAGCCTCTACAATATTCACTGGTCAGTCTCTCTGTATTAGTGTTTATCTGCTTATTTGCATCACTCCCGAGGGGTTGACCTGAGTTTGCAAAGTAAGCCAGCAACCAGTCTGTGGTGGGGGAGTCAGAACAACCCAGTCAGTCCAGCCTAGCCTACTCCATCCAGCTTTTGCCTGCCAAGCCAGCTTTCCACCCCTGCTGTGCTCATCGTGAGAGGTTATCAAGCTATTCTGTGTGAAGGGTTAAGATAAGCCAAGCCACCCAGCAACCCAGGTTTCTTACCCCAGTACTCAAGCAAGCCACTTGGGTACAATCTTCATCTCTTGTGATTCAAGCTCCAAGCCATTCTGAGTGTTTTTTCATCCCTGTGTTGTGGTATTTCGTGGGTTTGTTTTTAAGCCAGCCAGCTTAGAATATCTTCGCGCCAGTCAGGGTGTCCTCAGTGAGGCTAGATAGACATCCAGGCATTGACACGGCAGGCTGGGCTCATCCCTTCCTTACCACAGTCTGACAATATAGCGTTACCATCCAACAAGTGTGTCTACCTTCAACCCTCAAATCTCCTTAAGAACCCCTACGACAGAGAGCGTATAAATCTGTAAGGGAAGGAAGGCGGGGTAGGGGTCGTCCTCTAAAAGGTTGGAAGGAAGGGGTAAGGGAAGTTTTGTGGGCGAGGGGCTTGGACTTCCAGCAGGCGTGCATGAGCGTGTTCGATAAGAGTGAATGGGGATGAATTTTATTTGGGACCTGACGATCTGTTGGAGTGTGAGCAGGGTAATATTTAGTGAAGGGATTCAGGGAAACCGGTTATTTTATATAACCGGACTTGAGTCCTGGAAATGGGAAGTACAATGCCTGCACTCTAAAGGAGAGGTTCGGGATATTAGCAGTTTGGAGGGATATGTTGTGTATCTTTATACGTATATGCTTCTAAACTGTTGTGTTCTGAGCACCTCTGCAAAAACAGTGATTATGTGTGAGTGTGGTGAAAGTGTTGAATGATGATGAAAGTATTTTCTCTTTGGCGATTTTCTTTCTTTTTAGGGTCACACTGCCTCGGTGGGAGACGGCCGACTTTATATATATATATATATATATATATATATATATATATATATATATATATATATATATATATATATATATAATATACATATATATATATATATATATATATATATATATATATATATATATATATATAAACATTATATATAATAATATATATATATATACATATACATAATATATATATATATATATATATATATATATATATATATATATATATATATATATACATACATACACACACACACACACACAAACACACATCTGCACAATTAGAGGCGGGGCCAGAAGCTGAGTCTCGACCCCTGCAACCACAATTAGGCGAGTACAGGGATTACATAATTAAGAAAACATATTAACGTAATTAATACTTACGCAATTATTAAAGATGAAATTTATTACGGTAATATTAACCTGGAGGAATCCATTGGACTACCAAAACTCGTGTTTAAGACGAGTTTTCAAATGGAAATGTTAGGATCATCTCCGTTAGAGCTCCTGCACTAGGGTGCTCATGGCTCCATACAGTGCCAAACTTTAAGGCATTCAGACTGTCTAAAGTACCACTAATTAGTGTATGACTGTAGGATATGATACTGCTAGTTGTATATCTTAATTTTTTTTCTTCTTTTACTCTCAGCTCAGTTCAAGCAACCATTTGCATATTAATATATTCTCAAAACAAATGAACAAAAGCAAAAAACTTGTATACTTGATCATCAATTCAAAAAACTTTTAGTTCATCCTATTCGGTTTCTTCTCCATGGTTTCACAATTCAGTTTACTAAACCTACATTAAGTCTTGTGATGCACAATGTTTTCATAACTTTATTACAAAGTTTTCAGAGCTTTCTCCTACTTACCTATCCAAGTTCTGTCCAGATATATACTGACGAAGGATGGGGGGATGGTGAAGTAGTCTACGAAGGAGTACATCTCCAGCATGAACCACAGCTTATCACTTGCCGCTATAAACTGTCAGGAAAACAGAGAACATTAATTAATTAGAATGGACAGCGTTAGAATTGGCTTATCATATGTGTAAGATGAAGAAAGGCTTAACTCACTATTATAAATGCAGGGAGAAATGAAAGTGACCAAGAATATTTTCCCCAACACGGGTCTTTGTCATAAAATGATCCGTTCAGTAATGCCAGAACTATGACAGCGGCACACGCCAAGACGGTGTGTCAAAGATATGAATGATTGAGTAGCTGTTGGCCTTCTGAAGCCACAGCAGCAGTGACTACTGGTCTCTGTGATCACAGTATATTGTGAACGATGAATGTATCTGCATATGTAACCCATCCTTTTAATGAAAGTCAATATTTCTTCTTTTGCTAAAATGTTATGGGAGACTGTTGCACGAGCCTTAGTGATTATTAACGAGTACTGCACAGTACACTTAGCGAGTCCATTTTTTGCTAGCACTTAAAAAAAAAAATTCGCCTTTATTTTATCGTTGGCTGTATGTTATAAACAGGTTATTTTTTATTAACAAACGGCAACTCAACCAAGCCTAGCCGAATAACGTAAACATGAGATTTACTAAATACCTTATGAGAAATCTATTTAGAAATTTGCAAGGATATGATGACAGAAACCCGCTAAGTGTTCACAACTAACCACAAATTGAAAATTAGAGACATGAAAGTTTGATGACTTACTTGATATTTAATAATAGAGGACGACTTATCTCATTTCATATGACCATGAATTCACGATTGCAACAATCCTCGGTACGGTGGGATGCTTGCACTGGACAAAGGTGCTAATATCGCAGCTGGAGGCGAACAGCTTGTGAACCTGTAGTCGCTACGGTATTCGCTAGGGGAAACAGAATAATTTTCCCCAACACGGGTCTTTGTCATAAAATGATCCGTTCAGTAATGCCAGAACTATGACAGCGGCACACGCCAAGACGGTGTGTCAAAGATATGAATGTTGAGTAGCTGTTGGCCTTCTGAAGCCACAGCAGCAGTGACTACTGGTCTCTGTGATCACAGTATATTGTGAACGATGAATGTATCTGCATATGTAACCCATCCTTTTAATGAAAGTCAATATTTCTCTTTTGCTAAAAGTGTTATGGGAGACTGTTGCACGAGCCTTAGTGATTATCTGAACGAGTACTGCACAGTACACTCAGCGAGTCCATTTTTTGCTAGCACTTAAAAAAAAATATCGCCTTTATTTTACTCGTTGGGTTGTATGTTATAACAGGTTATTTTTTATTAACAAACGGCAACTCAACCAAGCCTAGCGCGAATAACGTAAAACATGAGATTTACTAAATACCTTATGAGAAATCTATTTAGAATTTGCAAGGATATGATGACAGAAACCCGCTAAGTGTTCACAACTAACTCACAAATTGAAAATGAGACATGAAAGTTTGATGACTTCTTGATATTTAATAATAGTGGACGACATATCCTCATTTCAGTTTGACTCACGAAATCACGATTGCAAACAAACCACGGTACGGGTGGGGAATCGAACTCACGGCAAGTGAGTCGTGATGACGGCACTGAGGAGACTTGAGCTAGAGTTCTCACGGCCACGCTGGCGGGAGATTCATCTGTAAAAACTTGCATTTGTGGCCACAGTGGGGCCCATGCTAACTTCCCTATGGAGCATAAATGTACCTAGTTGGATTAGTCTTATTGTAGCCAGCTGGCCCATTGGTTTACGCATTGCCCTGGAGTTTTATGACTCACTTGCCGTGAGTTCGATCCCCACCCATACCGTGGCTCATTTCAGCTTATTAAGCGACTAGCAAAATAAACTCCTGAACGTTTTCCGTAAACTTACAAATACTATTTTATTGATTTTGAAGTTGGCTTAGGCTAAGTTAGGGTAAATGAGTTTTTGTCTAGGTTAGCTTAGGATGCGTTCAAGTAAACAAGCTTTGGTCTAGAACGAACCAAAATACCTCTAAAGTTTCCTTTCCAATTTGTTGGTCAACTGTAAAGTGTTCCTACCACCGTATTGTGATTTCGAAGAGTATTATTTCTGATCTAGGAGGCACTAACATAATAATGCGATGGAAGGCTTCTGCATTACTTTAACATTAAAGGAAGTTTTAGCTGTATTGTCTAAGCAGCTAGTACTGAAAGGAACTAGCAGATCCATTATCGGCTCAGGTTAGGCTAGAAGTATCTCTAGCAGTAAGGTCTGAATGGAGTTATCAATGAAAAAATACAAAGTATGCGGAAAGAGACTGGACCATACATTGGAGCATTATATCTTGGTGTCCAAACATCCAATTTTTCAGAGACACCTCCACGCAAACCTTGCAGGACAAGGCAAAACACTTCATTGTTTACGATAAAATATCTGAAATACTGAGGTTATATCCACATTTTGCATCGACTACATTAAAGGAACGAAACTACTCTCCGGCGGACGACCACTTGCACAACCCGCTGCATTTGTTAGAAAACTTCTGGGTATAACGAGGTCATTCATAGCCCGCTGATCGTTACATTCCAGATGATAAAGGATAATGAGAGAGGAAATGGCGATGAAGCTTGTCAGGCTAAGGAGGCAGGTGGAGGATGGTCGTGCAAGAAGGATAATCGGTACTCAGAGAGACGCGCTCTTCTTGAGAGGCGAGTTGAACTGGCCTTAGTAGAAAGATTTAGCGGAAAGCAAACCATATTTACCTGTGCAGAGCTTTATCAAGTCTGGACCTGAATAAAGCTCTACCCAGAGCAAAATGTCTTCACCATGTGTCTTTCCACCATACTTGTCAGCAATACAGCCTGGTTGATCAAACCCTGATCCACCATGAGGCCTGGTCTCAGACCTGGACGCGGGGGCGTTGACCCCCGAAACCCTCTCCAGGTAAACTCCAGGTAATACCTGCCATCCTACATATTGTAAAGGCCTTACATGTGTATACTCTTCTATTTTATTCGCCCATTTAATTTAGGAGGTCGAGTCTAAGATCTTGCTTTGTTTCTTAACTGACCGTTACTAGATTCACTTCCCCCTAACTTCGTGGACTCTATTATACCTATCCTTAAAGCTATATATATAGAGTGTACTTTGACCACTGTTTCATCTCGTAAGAATTAAGAAAGAAGGCAGGTTAGATGGCCAAGAAAGGTGGAAGGGTTGAACACTGATAAAAAAAAAACTGTTGGTGTTAATGTGAAAAATGGATACTGCAACGATAAGAGAGAGGAAGAGGATCGTGATATACTAAGGGAGGCGAGAAGAAAAGCTTATGCATTAGGGAAGAGATGAAGAGTCGATACACTAACAGACTGGAGAAAGGGGACTCCTTACAGGTAAGAATAACAGGTATATTAAGGTTGATAACTGAGTGATGTATTAGGAGATGTATGGTATATTAAGAGGGAAACGTAATAGATAGTTTATTAAAGGACGTTAAGAAAATATGTGGTTTATTAAAGGAGATGGAAAGAGGGGATTTATTAAAGGCGAAGGCAAGATATTTATGTTAAGGGAGAAGGGTAAGGTGATGTATTGAGAGAGAGAGAGAGAGAGAGAAAAGAGAGAGGAAGAGAGAGAGAGAGAGAGAGAGAGAGAATGCATACCAATAAGAGAGTTAAGACTATATTAAAGTAGAATTCACGATGAATATTACTCTTCATATAAATATTATATTACTATGAAAACTATCCAGACATTAAGATTTATAGCAGCTACGACGGGAAAGGAATAATTTACTTACACGTATAAAAAAGTAGACCATAAAAAATATATTAAAGGCTAAGTCTATTTGTTGTGTTGTGTTGACGCTCCAGGGCTGACAGTGCTCCACGCCGTCCCTGTGAAGAGGAAAAGTGTGTTACTATATAGTACATCCAGTGTGTGATCCTTACCTTATACCCAATATCCTGGGTGCCCATTATCTCACACCTGCTACCCTGGGTGCCCAACACCTCACACCTGCTACCCTAGGGGGTCCAACACTCATTCACTTCTTAGTTACCCCATTTGCAAGTATATGAGTTACAATTATCTAGGTTTCAAGAAAATATTTTTATTCCGTTGCATTTCTTTTCTCATTTTAAGGCTTGGGGCAATGCTACCGAACCATTAATATATATTAACAGATACATTCAATATCTCATTTCCCAACGATCTTAGCGAAAATAAGGAGCATCACTGACAGGGTTGCATTCTCCTTGATTTATAAATTAATACATAGAGAACACGAAGTGCACAGTGAATGGTAGTGTTGGTGAGCAGGTGTTGGAGCAACGCACCTATTCCCCGTGCAATACTACAAAACAACAAGAAATATTATACTCTTTCCCGTAAACATGTAGGATTTAATCTAAGCTAGTGCTGCATGAAGACACTCACAATTTCCAGAACATTTTATTGACACGAAGTTTTGCTCTGTGTAAAGCTTTATTTAATTATAGTCAAAAGCTCTACAGGGAGCGAAACGATGTTCGGACAAAAACTTGTTCTGTAATTTGTACCTTCGTCTTCATACTTGTTGGTAATATGTCATTTCATCTAGACTAGTGCTACATATTTAACAAACAAGCACTAGGTGACCGCAAACAACACCTTTACATAACAAAAACAAGTAAAATCCACTTACTGTATGCTCTTAAACTGTACTTTAAAACCTCATTATTTATAAAACTATGGAAATTTCGAGTTAATATCTAACTTATATAAAGGCCATTTGTAATATGATCACAGCAGTGATTCTTTTTAAAATTTATGTTCGACTTAAAAATAATTGTGTTAATTTTAGTCATGGGATGTATGTAATGTGTGAGTGCACAAAGCAACAACTGCAGAAAAGTAAGTTGTTTATAGCACCGTGATTTGTTAGGTGGGCAAAGTCACTTGTGTCGAAGTACGTACCTACGTACTTGTGTGTTAGTTACCACATGTCAAAGACACTTGTTGACAGATAGGTGCCCTGGTGGCTAAAGCTCTCGCTTCACACAAGGAGGGCCCGGGTTCGATTCCCGGCGGGGTGGAAACACTTCGACGTGTTTCCTTACACCTATTGTCATGTTCACCTAGCAGCAAACAGGTACCTGGGTGCTAGTCGACTGGTGTTGGTCGCATCCTGGGGAACAAGATTGCGGACCCCAATGGAAATAGGTTAGACAGTCCTCGATGACGCACTAACTTTCTTGGGTTATCCTGCGTGGGGTTAAAAATCCGAAGAAAATCTTATCTTATATTTGGTGTGTGCCTTCATCTTTATGTACTCGCCTATATGTGGCTGCAGGAGTCGATTCACAGCTCTCGGCCTCATGTGTGTGTTAGTTACCAGGTATCAAAGGCACTTCTTGACAGACACTTTTTTTTGTATGTTAAATAATATCTGATGTTGACACCGGAAGGCTTAATGTTGACCTAATAAGTTAATTTTTTTTTATAACATACAATTTAATGCAGATAAGTGTAACGTTCTAATCATAAGAAAAGGAAATAACTATGCTACTTATAGACTAAATAATGTAGATCTTTGTCACAGTGAATGCGAAAAAGCTCTATGAATTCTGGTTAGCAGAAACCTAAAACAGTAAAGTTAATATAATGAAGAATTATATTAGCAATAAAGCTAATATAATTCTTGGCTTCCTATCAAGAAGTATAAACTTTATAGTTCTTTGATTAAACCTCATTTAGATTATACTTCTCGGTTCTAGTCTCCATACGACAGGATAGAAATAAATGTGCTCGAAAATGCACAGAGAAGGATGAAGGTGATTCCATGTATTAGAAATCTTTCCTATGAAAACAGACTGAAGGCACTGAATTTGAACTCTTTGTTAAGGCGTAAAATTAGGGGAGACATGACTGAAGTGTACAAATGGAAAACTGGAATAAATAAAGATATTAATAACGTGTTACAAATATCTAACGAAGACAAAACTCGCAGCATTGGATTCAAGTTAGCGAAATTTAGATTTAGAAAGAATACTGGGAGGTACTAATGAGTGGAGCAAACTCCCAAGTAGTGCCAATGTGACAAAAACTTTTGAACAGCTTTAAATATAGGCTGGATGAGTACAGGAGTAGATGTGAGCCAACCTTGCCCAGCAGGCCAGCTGCAGTGCTCCTCCGTTCTTGTGTGTCCACAGTAACCCGAGTGTGTTTCGTCTTTGTATTAATATATGTCTTAACTCGTCTGACTTTAATATCAATATCTGAGAGAGCGATCCTCGGTGCCATTGCTATTACAGTGTAAATAATTATACAAGTAAAAATGAATGAGTTAAACAGATGGTCACACGTGTGGAATCTTGCAGAAAAAATATTTTGGCAGTACGTGACGTTATTTTATTATTCTAATATCTGCTGCAATCTTGCAAATTATTTATGGGTCATTTGATATGTGGTAAATATACAAGGCTATTTTTTTAAATGTTAGGAAATTAAAGTGTATAATCGCTTTCCTAAATCACAGAAAACCCACATTTTGAAAACAGACAAGAAACATTTTTTTTTTTAATATTTCTATCCTTACACTGGGATCCTCCTCAGGGTACAGATCAAAATATTCACATTTTGCTTCTTGTCTATTTTGAAAATCTGATATAACCGAGTGAGTAAATTTTAAATTTGCGTATGGCTGGGGTTTGGAGACGACAGATTTGTAGCTCACCTCACATACTAGTAGTAGTGTTGATGTCTGCTGCTTATCAAGTTTCTGTCATTGGCCAACAGGCTACTAAGGCAATGGAGCTGATACCAGGAAGTACCAAAGCCCCGTATTCCAGCCGGGGCAGTTGAAAACACCTAATATAAAACTTTCTACGCTCTAGTTTATCTCTAAATAAAGCTTCTACTATTTACCTGTTTACAAACTGGTTTGATTTTAACATGCGTACCTTACTAAATGTTTGCCTATTTATGGAGTGCAACATAAGTAATATTATACAGAAAAAATATAAATTCTAAAGAAGATACACAATACGATAATCAAACATTTTACAACACGTCACTTAACACAAGACCACACTTCTAACAAGTCGAGCCCATTAAGAAATAAATCTAAGGTACAGATTATTATGGATGTTTATATAATGATTAAACAGTGACTAGGCTACAATGAACTTTTTCATATTTATTTTTGCAGCAGTTTAAGATTTGCAGTGCGCTGTATCCTACCACGGGCTAGCTTATATATATATATATATATATATATATATATATATATATATATATATATATATATATATATATATATATATATATATATATATATATATATATATATAGGAGATGCATATGGGTGCTGGTGCCGTAAGGTGCTTGGGGATGGGGAGGAAATGTCCTGATGGTGATGTGAAGATTGAGAGTAGCTACGTTGGCCCATCTAACTTACACAAGATCTATCTTTTACTCAAGACTTATCTCTCCTATAAAAGACCTCTCACCCACCCAGTATTCTATCTCTACTACCCAAGACATCTTTCCTACGTAAGTACATACTATCTCCTGCCAAAGAGGACAACAAAGTCCAAAATAACAAGAGATACAGAGCAATATTCTAAAATGTCTCTTGCTTTATTACAAGCATCTGCAATGAGGTGTTTTTCAGTATCATCTGGAAACTAATGGGTTAAGCTTGGATAAATACACAAATAACCCGCACATATGAGAAAGAAGCTTTGATGTTCGGGTCCGACCATTAACTAAATGGTCCAAGTCGGACCGAAACGTCTTCATAAGTTTCTTTCTGTGTGGGTTGTGTGTATTCTACCCGTCACGGTATTCTGCCTTTTTGTTCTTTGGTAGGACAACGGTTGGTCAATATCATTTAAAGCCTATCAACTGTATACAGGAGGGTCAAAAAGGCTGGATGGAACCTTTTCACTACTAGACAGAAATACTTCAATCCCCAAAAACCTAGGATATGTACGCTGAGGGACCTATGTCTTTCGGTATATATATATATATATATATATATATATATATATATATATATATATATATATATATATATATTATATATATATATATACACATGTATATCCTGTTAGGATAAAAAATTACTTGCCACTGTTGTAGTCCTGTACTGATCACCCCTCACAGGAGGTACCTTGAAGCCGGTGAAGGGCTCTTAATCCAAGGAACTGGATCGGATCCAACCTGCTTGTTCCCCATTCCCCAGGCGCTGTATGACTCCTACGAGTTTAGTGCCCCTCTATGAATGTAATACTAATAATAATCCTATAATGACGATGCTTAAAACGTAATTATATAAACTCTTTATATGAAAAAGAACTGTACCAATGATGCTGATTTTATGAAACATCTATCTACCTATCTATCTATTAGCAAAACCTGAGGTTAAGCAACGCTCCGCCTAAGGTATCTAATAATAAAATATAAAAATAAGGAAAATAAAAAAAATATTACTAAGAAACAAAACGCGAATAGGGAAAATAACATTTTAGAACAAAAAGTTAAAATATAACTACTACAACAACGCACTTTCAGAAACCCCTACAAGGCAAAAAACTATAAATTGAAAGGCTTGAAAAATCTCACATGTACGTAAGTCAACACACACACATGCGTACACATACATATACGTATACCCTCATGCACGTACAAATGTACATTCTATCCTGCACGTAAAAATGTCCTTACACAATCTGTACAGAAATAACCACATACAAAACAAAAAATACATAAACACTCACAATTGCATGCACAGATTCAAACACTCGGGTACATATAATCACGTTCACACAATTATGTACATATGTAAGCATATGAAGACAATCATGTAATACAAGTACATACACTCATATATACAATCACTTGAAGACACAAT